GGTCTCCCATGAGGGTAGCACGAACCCAGTTACTTGAGCCATTACCACTGCTTCCCAGGGTGCACATTAGCAATGGAGTCAGGTACTCTGATGTGGGATGATGAATGTTTTAGCTAATGTCTTCATCTCCCCCCTCTAGGCCAGATGCCTATCCCTGTTCTGCTTTTTTGATGTTGGCATTGATTGCTATAAAATTCCTTCTTAGTACTTCTTTTGCTTTACACAATTTTGTTATGTTACGTTTCCATTTTCATTTGTTTCAAGACTCTTTTTTTAAAGATTTATTTTATTGATTTGAAAGAGTTACAGAGAAAGGTAGAGACAAAGATCTTCCATCCGCTGGTTCACTCCCCAGATGGCCACAACGGCCAGAGCTGCGCTGATCCAAAGTTAGGAGCCAGGAGCTTCCTCCGGGTCTCCACACGGGTGCAAGGGCCCAAGCACTTGGGCCATCCTCTACTGCTATCCCAGGCCATAACAGAGAGCTGGATCAGAAGAGCAGCAGCTGGAACTAGAACCGGCGCCCATATGGGATGCAGGCACTCAGGCCAGGGCTTTAACCCACTGCGCCATAGCGCCAGCCCCTCAAGACTCTTTAATTTCTTCCTTGACCCATTGTTTGTTCAGCAGTAACTAGTTTCCATGTGTTTATGTAGTTTCCAAAGTTCTTTTGTTAGTGACTACTAGTTTTACTTCATTCAGATCAGGATAGACATTTGCAAGTTGGACATCTGACCTAGCAGTTGAGACTGCTGAAGATGACCATATCACATATCAGTACCAGGGTCTGAGTCCCAGCTCTGCTCCTGATTCTGACTTCTTGCTATCTTGAAATTGGGGCAGCTGCAGGTGGATGGCTCAAGTGCTTAGGTCTCTGCCACCCACATGGGAGACCATGATTTCCTGGCTTCCAGTTTTGGCCTAGCCCATCCCTGGTCATTTTAGGTATTTGGAGTTCTGTCTCTCTTTTTGCTCTTCTAAGTGTAAAATATAAATAAATTGAAAAGGAAAAGATACTCAATATGATTTCAATCTTTTTAAATTTTTTGAGATTTGCTTTTTGACCAACCATATGATCTGTTCTGAAGACTGTTCCATGTCCTATTGAGAACACTGTGTATTCTGTAGTCGTAGTATGCAGTGTTCTGTGGATGTCTATGATATCCAGCTGATCTAGGGTATAGTTTAATTTCGCTGTTTCTTTGCTAATTTTCTGTTTGGATGATTTGTCTATTTCTCAAAGTGAGGTGTGAAATTTCCTTACTATTCTTGTATTAGAATATATATTTTCCTTTAACTCGTTAATATTTGCTTTATGTATTTGGGTGCTCTGATGTTGGGTATAACTATATATATTATAAATATATAATATATAATAACAGCTCTCTCTTTATATATATATATATAGAGAGAGAGAGAGAGAGAGAGAGAAAGCTGTTATTTCCTCTTGCTAGATGGAACCATTTGTCATTATATAATGACTTTTCTTATCTCTTTTTAGTACTTTTGATTTAAAATCTATTTTATCTGTTATAAAAATGGCTACTCTGGCTTTCTTTTGGGTTCCATTTGCATGGACTGTCTTATTCCATCATTTCACTTTCAATTTTTTGCTTCCTTAGAGGTGAAGTAAGTCTTGTAAGCAGCATTTGGTTGTGTGGTTTGCTTCTCTCCATTCAATTACTATATAACTTTAAAAAAAAAAAAGATTGGTTGATTGATTTGAAAAAGCAGAGTGATAGAGAAATCTTCCATCTACCAACACACTCCCCAAATGACTGTGATAGCCAGATCTAAGACAGGCTGAAGCCATTAACCAGGAACTGCATAATGGTCTCTCACAAAGGTGGCAGGGGCCTAAGTTCGTGGGCCATCTTCTACTGCCTTGCCAGGCACATTAGCAGGAAGCTAGATCATAAGTAGACTAGCCAGGACTTAAACCAGCACTCTGATGTGAAATGGCAGTGTCACCAGTGACAGCTTAAACCACTACCACATAATTCTGACCCTACTCTATGTTGTTTACACTGGAGAATTTAATCCACTTACATTTAAGGTAATTAGTTATAAGTAAGGTCTTACTACTGCCATTTTGCTTCTTGTTTTCTAGTTCTATTATAGTTCTTTTCTTTTTCCTCCCTTACGATCTTCCTTTGTTAAGTCTTTTATTCTTGTAAGTATGATTTGATTCCTTGCTTATGTATTTTTTCCGGAATAGCCTTCTTTTATTTTGTGCTTAGAGAAACAGAGGAAGATAGTTGGTGTCAACTAGCCCAATGCTGTTTTTTTGAAATGGAGGCTATGTGCATAAGGGAGAAGTGCAGAACCTGACAATTTGCATTTCTCATCAGGGATGGATCAGTGTATAAAGTATGCAGATCATCAGTAGGCTGACATGAGGTATTGGGTGGAAAGATAACTTTTTAAAGATTAGAAAGGCAGGAGCCAGAGTTGTGACACATGGGCTTGGGCCACCAGCTTCTCATGTGAGCACAGGTTCAAGTCCTGGCTGCTCTGCTTCTGATCTGGCTCCCTGCTGATGCACCTGGGAAAGGAATGGAGGATGCCCAGGTGCTTAGACCCCTGCACCCGGGCTGGAGACCTGGAAGGAGTTCCAGGCTCCTGGTTTCAATCTGGCCCAGCCTGGCTGTTGGCAGTCATTTGCGAAGTGAACAGAGGATGGAAGATATCTCTCTCTCTCAGCTGTTGCAGCCATTTGCGAAGTGAACCAGTGGATGGAAGATTCTCATTCTCATTCTCTCTCTCTCTCTCTCTCTCTCTCTCTCTCTCTCTATCTTTGTAACTGCCTTTCAAGTAAAATAGATGAATCTTAAAATAAAAAAGTAAGTGAGGCCGGCACCGTAATGCATTAGGTTAATCCTCCGCCTGCAGCACCAGCATCCCATATGGATGCCTGTTCTAGTCCCGGTTGCTCCTCTTCAGTCTGGCTCTCTGCTATGGCCAGGGAAAGCAGTAGAGGATGGCCCAAGTGTTTGGGTCCCTGCACTCACATGGGAGACGGGGAGGAACACCTGGCTCCTGGCTTCGGATCAGCGTAGCTCCGGCCATTGCAGCCACTTGGGGAGTGAACCAACGGAAGGAAGACCTTTCTCTCTCTCTCTCTCACTGTCTGTAGCTCTGCCTGTCTTAAATAAAAATCTTTAAAAAAAAAAAGTGAGACTAGAAAGGGACATTTTGCAGGGCTTTCAGAGTGGCAAAGTTCCTTCCTCAACTTAGGTGGTAGCTATAAGTGAGTTTACCTTATAACAATTTTAAACTATGCATTTGTTTTTAGTGCCTTTTTGTTTTTCTTAATTTTTATCTGTAACAGCCGGGGCTGAGCTGAGCCAAAGCTCAGAGCTGGGAATGCCATCCATATCTCCCACAAAGGAGGCCAGAACCCGGTTACTTGAGCCGTCACTGCTGTCTCCCTGGGTGTGCATTACCAGAAAGCTGGGGTCAGGAGCTACAGCCCGGAACTGGACCCATGCACTCCACTGTGAGACAGGGCTTCCTAACTGGAGACCCAACTGCTAGGCCAACCCCTGTGTGACTTTGTTTGTCTGTGTTTTATTGTACACTGGAAGAGTTTATTTTAAAAAAAAAACTATGCAAAAAATCTACTTTCAGGTAGGATGTAGTAGATAGCAACAGCCATCACTCTCAATCCAACAACTAGGAAAGAAAGACAAATTACAAAATACATTGAAGAGATCAGAGATGTGTGGAAGTAGTGAGATGTAGATGAACTACAGTGAAAGTCCACTGAGAAGAGAACCCCTGTCATGTGACCTGGGATCATAGGCTATTTTCTTCCCTGGAGACAATTTCCAAGTCTGAACATGGGTTGAATAGTGGGCGGGGTCTATGCAGAGGGCTTCTGTTGGAGGAAGCATGAATCAGGGAAGCCATTGCTAGTCATGTAAGTTGGTGCAACAGGCGGAATCTAGAACAGTTGCAAATGTACAACTTTCTCCCTACAGGGACATTTGCTGATTGGCAGCAGGATGGGGAGGGGTGTGCAGAGAAGGCTGAAGACCAGGTGGAAAGGCAGAGTGAAAGCTCATGCGGTCTCTGCTTAGAAGACCAAGACCTGCCATGGCAGGAGGCCTGCATTTGAGATATGTGAGCCTGACTAAAGCCCAATCCCTCAGTGAATGGAGGTAATGCACCTTTCATCCTGTCTGTCTAATCCTCAAAAGAACAGGAGGGCGGGGGAGATATATCAGCTTCAGTTTCTAGGATCCTGTTCTTTTATAATAATGTCACGCATACCTAAGAAGCACGAGCCATCTGAAGAAACGGAAAATGTGGCCAGTAATTGAGAGGAAAAGTAGACAGTAGAAGCAGTCTTAGAACTGCTCCACATTTGGAGTTAAGACTTTAAAATAAGTGTAATAGATATATTAAATAAAAATAGAGGAAAAGATCAACAAATGGAAAAATAAGAAGCAGGTATACATTGTAAAAATGAACTGTCTACAACCAAGAACTTGCTGGATAAGATTAAGGAAGGACTGGGGGCAGGCATTTAGCCTGGCAGTTCAGATGCCTGTGTCCTACGTACAGCACAGCTCCTGGTTCCAGCTTTCTGCGAGTCCAGACCCTAATGAGGCAGCAGTGATGGCTCAAGTACCTAGGCCCCTGCCACCCACGTGGGAGACCTGGATAGTGTTCTAGCTCCCTGCTTTGGTCCGGCGTAGCCCAACCCTTGTGGGCATTTGGGGAGTGAACCAATAGACGGGAGCTCACCTGCGCATGCATGCATACTCCTCTCTCTCTCTCTCTCTCTCTCACTCACTCTCTCTCTCTCTTCCCTCCCCTCTCTCTCTAATAAATACTAATTTTTTTAAGTGGACTAGACACAGGGGAGACAGAGTTAGTGAACTCAAAGACAGATCAATATAAGACTTCAATTTTTTTGAAGTTTATTTAATATATTTAGTGAACTTTATTTAAAGTTTTCAAAATAATGAATTCTTTACACATGATCTTCCAAAGACAACCAGTTAGGGTTCTTAGGGGAGCTGAGGGTGACTTGCTGCACAACAGCAGACAACTAAACTCTGGTACTGTGACCCCAGGAACTCAGAGGATTTGCCCCACACAGCTGTGACTAAGATCTCCAAGAGGCACAAGCCTAGCAATTGAAATTAGCTGGCCTGGGCTTTGCAGACGCCGTTGTCACCCACAGCTGCTCACCATCAGCTGTGTTCTTCGACACGACATTGCCATTAACAGCCAGCCTTTGGGCTGCATCTCCTTTGGGCTCTTTGCAGACAGAGTTCCAAAGACAGCAGAAAACTTCTGTGCTCTGAGTTCCGGAGAGAAAGGATTTGGTTACAAGGGTTCCTGCTTTCAGAGAATTATTCCAGGGTTTATGTGACAGGGTGGCAACTTAACATGCTACAATGGCATGGGAGCAGCTCCATCTATGGAGAGAAGTTGATGAGGAAAACTTCCCTCTGGGGGCTGGCGCTGTGGCGTAGCGGGTAAAGCCACCGCTTGCAGAGCCAGCATCCCATCTGGGCACCAGTTCCAGTCCCAGCTGCTCCACTTCCAGTCCAGCTCTCTGCTGTGGCCTGGGAAAGCAGTGGAGGATGGCCAAGTGCGTGGGCCCCTGCACCCGTGTGGGAGACCCAGAAGAAGCTGCTGGCTCTGGCCGTTGCAGCCATTTGGGGGAGGGAGTGAACGAGTGGATGGAAGACCTTTCTCTTTTTCTCTGTCTGCCTCTGCCTCTATAACCCTGCCTTTCAAATAAATGAACAAATCTTTTAAAAAAGAAAAGAAAAAGAAAACTTCTAAAGCATATAAGTCTTGGCATCTTGTCCATGGCAAATGCCAAACACAACACAAATGGTTCCCAGCTTTTTCATCTGCACTGCCAAGACTGAGTGGTTGGATGGCAGGCGTGTGGTCTTTGGCAGAGTGAAAGAAGGCATGAATATTGTGGAAGCCACGGAGCACTTTGGGTCTGAGAACGGCAAGACCGGCAGGAAGATCACCATTGCCAGCTGTGGACAACTCTGATCTTAACCAGCAGAGCACTCCTGTAGCTCAGGAGGGCACCCTGCATCCCATCTGCTCGTGATGCCCGTCACTGTGCTCTCCCTACAGTTCTTTGGGTTCCATGTTTTCCTTACTTCCCCTCCAAGTCTAACGGGATTGCAGAGCTAAAAGTTATGATTGACAAATAAAAACAAGAAATTAACTGGCATGGTCAGAGTGAAGGGCTGTTGCTGAAACAGCGCTGACTGGGTCGGCAGGGGAACAAGAAGGAGCGGGACCTTTTCCCTCTCTAGACTCCCAGGGTCTCTAGTCCTGCCCTTTGGCACCGTCTAACAGAGACAGCAGGCAAAAGAGAAATACAGCGTTCAGAGTTCCAGCTCTAACATCGTAGCTCTGAGTGCAGAAAGTAACTTAGCAACTGAAGCAGGCATAAATTCTAAGGCCTTTTCCTCCCTCATAACTAAGTAAAATACCTTAGAGTCTCACTGTGCATTTGACGATAGCGAGTGGATTATCCAGTGTATCTTTAGAGTGATTTAAGATCTTAGGAAAAAGGCTTCATTTAATAAGAACACGTCCACAGTCCAGTTTCTCTCGCTGCAGGTATGATCCAAAGGAGAACAAGTGGACTCGTGTGGCTTCCATGAGCACCAGGAGACTAGGCGTGGCCGTGGCTGTGTTGGGAGGGTTATTATATGCAGTAGGTGGCTCTGATGGGACATCTCCACTCAACACAGGTTAGTCCCTCCCAGAACTTTGTGGTTTCCCAGAAGCAGCAGGTTCTGAGGAGAGTCCACCTTCAAAAGGTATAAAAAGTTCAGGTCATGCTGTAATTTATTAGAAAAAGGTTTTTTTCCCTCTAAGAAAGTGTAACTCATCTCTCTCTGCAGCCATACTCTTTTAGTACAGTCCCAAAATATTTATTTTTTCTTCTACTATGTAAGCGTCTAGAAATTTTTAATGAAAATAGAACTGTTTTCTGAACATGATTACTTCCCTTCCCATCACTACCTCCCCATGACAAAAAGTACTTTATATTATGATCTAAAATAGAAACTTGGAACTAGAAGCTGGCATGTTTGTTCATTCTTTCTGTTTAGAGAGAATGGGTATTTTAGCCTAAAGATAGTGTATGACTCATTGCTACCTATCTTGTCCTCTCTAGTGGTTTGAACTGCACGAGGTCATGGGCAGGGGACTCTAGGAGCACAGAAAATATCTCTTGTGATAGCGTTATCCGTCCTGAATGGTGCTTGGGGATCAGACAGTCCAGTCTCCCCACTTAAAGACAGAAAGAGTAAGGATGGTCACATCTCTGTGCTCCAACACCCGCCCTTTTCACCACACCATACCTAAGAGAAACTAGTCCTGATGACAGTGTAGTCTAGGATTGCCCAGGGATACACAAGTCCTCTCAGAAGCAGAATTCATGTTGCTGGCTGTAAGTACGTGTCGTCACGAGTTTCGGTGACTTTGACGAACCTGGGGTAAGAGGAAGTGGCTGACTGCTCAGGGCCTTGCTTTTCTTCCCCCTGCAGTGGAGCGCTACAGTCCTCAGGAGAACAGATGGCACACCATAGCCCCCATGGGGACCCGGAGGAAGCACCTCGGCTGTGCAGTGTACCAGGACATGATCTACGCTGTTGGCGGTAGAGATGACACCACAGAGCTTAGCAGTGCTGAGAGATACAACCCTAGAACGAACCAGTGGTCTCCAGTGGTGGCCATGACATCCCGCCGGAGTGGAGTGAGCGCCCAACTACTGAGAGCTTTGAAAACAATCCCTCTCTGCCTCTCAAATAAATAAATAAATCTGACATAAAAAAAAAAAAATAAAACAGACCGCTGCAAAAACCGGGTGTGGGCAGTAAAAAGACAGCCACAGTAAATAAGCTCAGGCGTGAAGGCAGACAGGAGACACTAGCCAGGGAACAGTGTGCAGAAGCACAGTGGTGTGAGGAGAGGTGGTCAGCCCAGCACTACTGAATTACAGGTGCATTAGCAGGGAAAAGAGAGAAGCCAGGAGGTGAGGCTAAACAGTGGGCTACAGGCTCCTGGAGGGCCTGAGAACATATTAAGGACTTTAAATTTCCCCATGGGTAGTAGGGAGGCCTAGAAGGCTTTTAAAGGGGAAAATGACATGATTAGATTTGTGGGTTTTTTGTTTTTGTTTTTGTTTTTTTAAGATTTATTTTGAAAGTTTTCTCTCTGTGTGTGTGTGTCTAACTCTGCCTGTCCAAAAAAAAAAAAAAAATTTATTTTGAAAGTTAGAATTAGAGATCTTCCATCCACTGGCTCACCCCTGCTAGATGTCCACAACAGCCAGGGCTGGGCCAGGCTGAAGCCAGGGTAGCAGAGGCCCAAGCATGTGGGCATCTCTGCCGCTTTTCCCAGGCCATTAGCAGGGGACTGGATAAGCAGTGGAACATATGGGACATGAACTGGTGCCCACGTGGGATACCAGCGTTGCAGATGGCGGCATAACCCAGACACCACACGCCCGTCCCATAGATTTGTATTTTTTAAAGAGATTTTTAGTGGCAACTTAGAAAGTGAATTCAAGCAGGCAAACCCCAGAGAAAGTGAGAGCAGTTTGGAGGTTCTTTCTCATTTTTGGTGAATGCTTTTTCTTAAGTTTAAGAACTCTATGTTTTGGACTCTAAGTATTCTCATTGATGGGCTGATGATGTGGTGCAGCAGGTTCAGCCACCACTTGTGTGGGTACCAGTTCATGTTCTGGCTGCTCCACTTCTGATCTAGCTCTCTGCCAGTGCACATGGAAAAGCAGTGAAAGATGACCCAAGTACATGGGCCCCTGAACACACATGGGAGATTTAGATGGAGTTCCAGACTCTGAGCTTCGGCCTGGCCCAGCCATGGCTTTTGCAATCATTTGGGGAGTGAACCAGTAGATGGCAGATCTCTCTGCCTCTCCCTCTCTGTAACTCTGCCTTTCATATAGATAAATAAATATTTTTTAAGATTTTATTTATTTATTTGAGAGGTAGAGTTACAGACAGTAAGAGACAGAGAGAAAGGTCTTCCTTCCATTGATTCACTCCCCAAATGACTGCAATGGCTGGAGCTGCACCAATCCGAAGCCAGGAGCCAGGAGCCTCTTCCAGGTCTCCCTCATGGGTACAGGGGCCCAGTCACTTGGGCCATCTTCTACTGCTTTCTCAGGCCACAGCAGAGAGCTGGATTGGAAGAGGAGCAGCCAGGACTAGAACCAGCAGCCATATGGGATGCTGGTGCCGCAGGTGGAGGGTTAACCTACTGCACCACCGCGCCAGCCCCGATAAATAAATCTTTTAAAAATATATATTCTCATTGAACATAACATTTTATAGTTCCCATAATTTCATATTTTTATATTACTTTTTCCCTCTGTGTTCAAGTAAATTGGAATGTAAGAGTTTAAGTTTTATTATCTTTTATTAGATGTATCTAGAAACCAGTCTAAAATTCCCTGTAATTGTCCAGTCTCTTCAGCAACACCTGTGCTTTGGTCCTCTAGGTTGGCCTGGCAGTGGTCAATGGACAGCTCATGGCAGTAGGAGGTTTTGACGGCACAACATACTTGAAGACCATTGAAGTTTTCGATCCTGATGCAAACACGTGGAGGTAACCTCTAAGCTGTGCTGCAGATCACCTCACCACTGACTGGGAAACCATGGGCTGAGATGGCCCACGACCATCAACACGAAGATGGTCCACACACTGGTGTGCTTTAAAGAGAGCTGACACGCCATATTCAGTGGTTCCCTTTGGCTTGATTGCTTGGAAGGGGCTGGTGTCTTGGAAAAGTCTTCTCTTTGCTAACTGTCTAGTTTTGTAACTAGAAACCAGAAAAGCAGGAGGAAAAAAAATAAATCTCCTTTCTAGCCCCATTCTGTTCAACTGAGGAAAGTAAGGTACCAAGAAATACAGTGACTTCCTAAGCAAAGTAGTGATGGAGTCAGAATTAAAATCTAGGTCTTTGGCTCCAAATCTGTCAGCACAGTTTTGCAGTGTTTTTGTGGGAAATGCTATGCCCATAAAAACAAATTACAGTTATTTTTTAAAAAAAATGATATTTTATCTCAGTTTAAAACCTATTTTGGGGGCAGGCATTTGGCACAGTGGCTAAGAAGCCACTTGGGGTGGGGGGAGGAGGGTGCGGCCTTGCAGCACAGTGGAATAAACCACTACCTGCAACGCCAACATCACATATTGGAGCACTGCATCAAGTCCCAGCTGCTCTGCTTTTTTTTTAAAGATATATTTATTTTTTATTGAAAGTCAGAGATACACAGAGAGAGGAGAGGGAGGGAGAGAGAGAGAGAGGTCTTCCATCCACTGGTTCACTCCCCAGTTGACTGCAATGACCAGAGCTGCGCCCATCCAAAGCCAGGAGCCAGGAGCCTCTTCTGGGTCTCCCACGTGGGTGCAGGGGCCCAAGGACCTGGGCCATCTTCCACTGCTTTCCCAGGCCATAGTAGAGAGCCAGATCGGAAATGGAGCAGCCCGGTCTTGAACCAGCACCCACATGGGATGCCAGCACTGCAGGCCAGGGCATCAACCCACTGCACCACAGCGCCAGCCTCAATGCTCTGTCTTTCAAATAAACAAAATGTTTAAAAGATAAATTCAGATATAAAGTACAACAAACTCACAATAGTTTTTATTAAATTTGAAAATGAACTATATATTTGGCATTTTAGAGCATCTATCAAATTAGTCCTGGGAGTCTGTTATAACTGAGTAAAGATTTAGACTTGATGATTTTAACTTTAAAGATTTAAGAGGGGGCCTGCACTGTGGCTCATTTGATAATCCTCCATCTGCGGCACCGGCATCCCACATGGGCGCCGGGTTCTAGTCCCGGTTGCTCCTCTTCCAGTCCAGCTCTCTGCTGTGGCCCAGGAAGGCAGTGGAGGATGGCCCAGGTGCTTGGGCCCCTGCACCTGCATGGGAGACCAGGAAGAAGCACCTGGCTCCTGGCTTTGGATCAGCACAGCACCGGCCATTGTGGCCTTTTAGGGAGTGAACCAATGGAAGGAAGACCTTTCTCTCTGTCTCTGTCTCTCTCACTGTCTGTAACTCTACTTGTCAAATAAATAAATAAATAAAAATTTTTTAAAAAGAATTATATTTTTTTTATTTGAAAGGCAGAGTGACAAAGAGGGAGAGAAAGAGAATAGGATCTTCTACCTGCTGGTTCACTCCACAAATGGCCACAACAGCCAGGGGTGGGGCCAGGCCAAAGCCAGAAGTCAGGAGCTCCATCCAGGTCTCCACATGGGTGATGCAGGGGACCAAGGACTTGGGCCATCTTCTGTTCCCTTCCCAAGGCACATTAGCAGGGGACTGGATTGAAGCCAAGCGCCTGGAGCTCAAACCCGTGCTCCAGTATGAGATGCCAGCCTCATAGGCAGCAGCTGAACCCACGGTGCTACAATGCTGGCTCCTTCTGCTATATTCTAGTAGAACAATTCCTAATTTTCAGCTGCAGCTACCCTCCCAGACTTTTTTGTCACCTTGTTAGATTCACCTTGTGAATTTATTGAGTCCTCTGTATATTCATCTATGAGAAAGCCACAGCACTTACATTTTTATCGATGACTGTTTGGATTGCACATGGCTCGGTATTGCTCAGCAGTTGTCACAACACTAAAGTCAGGCTCATGGGCTGGTGCTGTGGTGTAGCTGGTTAAGCAACTGCTTGCAGTGCCAGTATCCCATGTGGACACCGGTTCGAGTCCCAGCTGCTCTACTTCCAATCCAGCTCCCTGCTAATGTGCCTGGGAAAGCGGCAGAGGATGGCCCAAGTTCTTGGGCCCCTGCTCCTACATGGAGACCCAAAAGAAGCTCCTAGCTCCTAGCTTCAGGTTGGCCCAGCTCTGGCCACTGCAGCCATTTAGGGAGTGAACCAACAGATGGAAGACCTCCCTCTGTGTCTCTCCTCTCTGTAACTCTGACTTTCAAATAAGTAAGTCCTTAAAAATAAACAAATAAAAATAAAAAATAAAGTCAGGCTCAGGAAAACATACTACTTTTTTTAAAGGTTGATTTTATCTGTTTGAAAGAGTGAGACAGGGAGAGACAGAGGGAGAGATCTCCTGTCTTCTGGCTCACTCCCCTAATAGCCATAAAGACTGGTGCTAGCCAGGCCAAAGCCAGGAGCGAGAAACTCCATCCTGGTCTCCCATGCGGATTTCAGAGACTCAAGTCCTTGGACCAACTTGTGCTGACTTCCAAGCGCATTAGCAGGAAGCTGGATCAAAAGCAGGGCAGCTGTGGCTCCAACTGGCACTGTGATAATGGATGCCAGTATCACAAGCAGTGGCTTAACCCACTGCACCACACCGCCTGCCCCAGCATACACTTCTTGCTCCTACATCTCATCTTGACTGAGTGTTCTAGGCTCTGAAGATACAGAGGTGAATAAAACAAAACTTCCCTGCCCTACTGTAGTTGGCCTTGTAGGGAAGAAGACACAGGTTTCTATACCAAAGAGGTGTAAGTGCTATAGCAAATAGCAAAGCAGCCCAGGGGGTTAGCTAGGAAGGGAAGGAGTGTCTGCTGAAGGCATTCAAGGAAGGTCTCACTGAAAACCGAATAGAGGGAAATGACAGGTAACGGCAGGTTTTGATTAATAGGAGCCTCCCACTTGTGGGATATTTTCTTCCATATACAGCTATTTTTGGTGGGAATTTGAGTCAGCATCATTTGGGAAGACAGCTAAATTTACTGCTGCCATTTCATTATTATAATCCTATGTATGGACTTGTTTCTCAGTAACTGTCACTAAATAGGATTAGCAGTGGTGCCGGCACTGTGGCATAGCTGGTAAAGCTACCACCTGCAACACAGGCATCCCATATGGGCTCCTGTTCTTGTCCCAGCTACTCCACTTCTGATTCAGCTCTCTGCTATGGCCTGGGAAAAGCAGCAGAAGATGGCTGAAGTGCTTGGGCTTTTAATTTCTTCACTGAAGAGGAAGAGAAGGGAGTTCTCTTCCATGGGCTCACTCCCCAAATACCCACAGCAACCAGGGGTGAGCCAGGCTGAAACCAGGAGCCAGAAACACGGGAGGGCAGGTAGAGTGGGCACAGTCACTGTGTTCCTAAAGTTATATTTATGGAAGGAATGAAGGCAGGGTTGGTGGGAGGGAGGGAAGAAGGGAGGGGGTGAGGGAGGGAGACATTCTAGGCCTTCCATATGAGTGGCAGGGACTCAGTTACTAGAACCATCCATCGCCTACTGCCTTCCAGGGTGTACACTAAACTAGGAATCTAGACTCGGGAACAGAGCTGGGGCTTGAATCCAGGCACTTCAGTATGGGATGTGCTTGTCCCAGCCATCTTAACCACTAGGCCAAATACATGCCCATTCATGAAATTCCTGAGAATCATCTATTGAGAGATTAATATGCACATTCTTGTAGTTACTTATCCCAAACGTAAGCCCAGTTTTACCTCACACCTGGCTGAAGATCTAGTATTCTCTTGCATAGAAGTCCTTAGTTTTGAATGTGCTTTTGTTCAGGTACCACCAACTAGATGCTCACTTTATTTACTCATGTCTGATTTTGTTCCATAAAGATTTGAGGAGGCTCACATGGCTACATACAAGAAAAGGGGGCAAATGTAAATAAGTGAAGGGGGTTAGCAAAAGGAAAGTGTGGATGAGAAAATAATTGGAGCAAAATTAGACACAAAAACGTTGAACATACGATTTGCCTAATTGTTAGAAGCCAGTGTAGACATCAAGTTGTCAAATTCTGCGATGGAAAAGTGATTACTCTCTATAAGAGAGGGCTTTTCAGTTGTTATCTGAAATAATTCTGCTGCCGACCCTGCTCAAGTCCAGCTTCTGTTCTTTGGAAGAGATGTATGAAACTGAAAATATCACTTGTGTTATAAAACATACAAACATGTCTGATTAACATCTAGTTATAGAAGAAACAGTGTTTTCTCTGAGTGAGAAAATCTGATTTCGTTTTTTTCTTTGCAGGTTATATGGCGGGATGAACTACCGTCGGCTAGGGGGTGGTGTAGGAGTGATTAAAATGACACATTGTGAATCCCATATATGGTGAACATGTAGAAGACAGCCTTGTATATGCTCTGTATTCTGGAGAGCTTTGACTTTGGAGCTTTGTACAGCTTGAGAAGACATTAGAACAAATTTTATTCTTTGCTGGTGCCTCAACATATGGAAATACAAATCCAATGAAAATACTTCACCTGCAAGACGTCATCTTTGCACAATAATTTTCAGTTCTGTGCAGAATATTTATTTGGGGTTTTAATTTATCTTTTTTTGTTGTTTTTGATCAGTCTGTAAGTTTGTATTTTTTTTTACTATGCTTCCTCCCACAAAAAAAAAAAAAAAAAAAGAAAGAAAGAAAAATTCCCAGCAGCAAAACTTAATTTGTTTTTGAGGTATTGATTTAAGTATGGTTGGGGCAGAAGGGCTTTGTACGGTCTGGTGGTTATTCCTGGGCGCTCCATCCACATGACTCTACTGCTCCCGAGGATTACCAGTGACAAAGATAGGCATGCACAGTGCATTAGCTAGCCATCACTCTTGCACTAAGCATCGGGAGACTTGAAAATCTTAAAAAAATGAAATAAAAATAAGTATCTTATTTCAAATAGCACAATTCAGAAGGAATAAAACCAGGACTCAGCTGTTAGAGCTGTCATCTGTGGACATTCACATCTCGTTTCCTTCTACGTTGTTTTCTACTACATTGCAAGTCTTCTAGATCTGCAGCCCTGCTGACTGCCTCTTGGGAGAAGTCTGAGAGTCTCACTTGCTGCTTCCCAGTAGTCATGTATGACTCTCACAAGAGTTTTTGCTTAAAAATGATCATGACTGAAGCAGCCTTCCCTCCTGTTTCCTTATCGTTACCAAAGGCCTGGAGCAGTGACCTCCCCCAGGCATTGCATTGTTACGCAGTCTGCACCCATACTCAGGCCTAGGGAAGATGAGGAAGGTGCTCTCTCCTTTACTAACAGCGTCCAAGGCAATGATTCTCCAGTCCCTGTGATGATCGTACATGTTAATGAGCGTGAAACCAACTGAGGCATTTTATTAATATTTTGGTTCTTTTATACAAACTGTATCATTTGCATTCTATAAGGCCACTGTTACTGTTTCTTTCAAATTGCACTTACTGATAAAAGTTCAAAATGTTAAGGAAATAAATAATTTCAGTGGTTAAGGTTTTTTTTTCCTCATTGTATTCATAGGCCAGTTTTTTCAACATATTTTGCAGGAAGATCTTTGAATAAGACTTTAACCACAACCAAAAGGAATAACCTTCACCTTCTCCCTCTCCCCTCCCACAGAAATGTTTGGCAAGTTTTGTGTTTACATTTAACGATCATTTGCACCTTTTTCAAAGAAAAAAAATAAGTATTTAGTAAACAGTTGTTTACATGTATCATTTATGCTTTTTTCTAGCATGTATAACTTTTTTAAATAAAGGTAGTATTTACCATAAAAAAAATTTTGGTTAATGCTTTTTAATGCTTGTACCCTTTGATATTTAATTTAGATTTTCTGTTTCTATATCATTTAAATGGCCTTTATGTAAATTGTAAATGCTTTCAACCTGAAGGAATAAAGGGATTGCCAGCTAGAACTAGGAATTTTTGTTATATATTTTATATATTATCTAACCTATAAACTTATTTTCTGTTGTAGAGCTTTAAAGTAATACAGTTTAGGGCCAGTGCCGTGGCTCACTTGGTTAATCCTCCGCCTGCGGCGCCAGCATCCCATATGGGCGCCGGGTTCTAGTCCCAGTTGCTCCTCTTCCAGCCCAGCTCTCTGCTGTGGCCCAGGAGGATAGTGGAGGATGACCCAGGTGTTTGGACTCCTGCACCCGCATGGGAGACCAGGAGGAAGCACCTGGCTCCTGGCTTCAGATCGGCGCAGTGCCAGCCATAGCGGCCATTTGTGGGGGTGAACCAATGGAAGGAAGACCTTTCTCTCTGTCTCTATATCTCTTCCTGTCAAATAAATTTTAAAAAAAGTAATACAGAGCCGGCGCCGTGGCTCAATAGGCTAATCCTCCACCTTGCGGCGCCGGCACACCGGGTTCTAGTCCCAGTTGGGGCACCGGATTCTGTCCCGGTTGCCCCTCTTCCAGGCCAGCTCTCTGCTATGGCCAGGGAGTGCAGTGGAGGATGGCCCAGGTGCTTGGGCCCTGCACCCCATGGGAGACCAGGAAAAGCACCTGGATCCTGGCTCCTGCCATCGGATCAGCGCGGTGCGCCGGCTGCAGCGGCGGCCATTGGAGGGTGAACCAACGGCAAAGGAAGACCTTTCTCTCTCTGTCTCTCTCTCTCACTGTCCACTCTGCCTATCAAAAATAAAAAAAAAATAAAAATAAAAAAAAAAGTAATACAGTTTAGATTTTTTAAAAGACTTATTTATTTATTTGAAAGGCAGACTTAGAGAGAGGGAGAGAGAGATCCTCCATCCACTGATGCGCTCCCTAAATGGCTGCAATGGCTGGAGCTGGGCCCATCCAAAGCTGAGAGCCTGGAACCTCCTGGTCTCCCACATGGGTATCCAGGGCCCAAGCACTTGGGCCATCTTCCCCTTCCCTCCCAGGCCACTAGCATGCAGCTGCATCGGAAGTGGAGCAGCCGGGATTTGAACTGGTGCCCATATGGGATGCCAGTATCTCAGGCAGCAGCTTTACCCACTATTCCTTGACACTGCCCCAGAATCACAGTTTTGATCTGGAGGGACTCTTAACAGTTCTTCAGATCCAAACCCATTTATTACACTGATTTAAGTCTAAAAACAAGGAAATTGCCTAAGACATACTAGGCAATGAATGATGGCACTGCCATTAGAAATCAGTTTCGGGGCCCGGCGCTGTGGTGTAGTAGGTTAATCCTCCGCCTGCGGCGCCAGCATCCCATATGGGCGCCAGTTCTTGTCCCAGCTGCTCCTCTTCCAGTCCAGCTCTCTGCTGTGGCCTGGGAAAGCAGTAGAAGATGGCCCAAGTGCTTGGGCCGCTGTACCCACATGAGACCGGAAAGAAGCACCTGACTCCTGGCTTCGGATCGGTGCAGCTCCAGCCGTTGCAGCCATCTGGGGAGTGAACCAGCAGACGGAAGGCCTTTCTGTCTCTCCCTCTCACTGTCTGAAACTCTACCTCTCAAATAAATAAATAAAATGTAACTCTACCTCTCAAATAAATAAAATCTTAAAAAAAAAAAAAACAGAAAAGAAAAAGAAATCAGTTTCCCAAACTCCCACTAGCCCGTAGTGGAACACGGCTTAAAACCAAACATAACAACAGACCATAAATGCTAATGAAGAAAGCCTAGCTTGAACATTTAAAAAGCATTCAGATTTTTGTGAGCTCCTTGGGTTATTCAGCATGAACAGTCTTCAAGGTAAAATCACAAATTTCCCGAGATCTCCTGCATATATTTGAGGAAAAGGATAGGCATGACAACAGGAACAAGTTCTGGGGATTATTCTCCCGTAGGCAGTTCCCAGTGGGGGAAATTCATGTGACGGTGACTAATGAGGACACAAACACACCAGCCCACATTTTCACCAGAACCTGGAACAGCTGTTCTCCGCCTCCACCAAAGGCATTCCAGTTTTGTCATGGAGAAAATGTGTTCTGTAAAAGGCATGGCCGTATAACACAATCTGTATTAACTTACCTGCCTACTGATTCCCACAACTATGCTCACTATAAATACAGCCACTCAAGCTTAAATGAGTTACAATGACATGGCAGCAGATGAAGATTTCTCTCACTCCGTCACTCCACTCTTTGTTGCTGGCCTTTCAAGTAAATGTCTTTTTTTGACATGGCAGAAGTCGAACCTCAGATCACATACCCAGATTCAAAATCCTTGTGCTCTCTCTCCACATTCCTGTGTGTGATTTCCAAAATGAGTATTTCTGAGTTTTTAGTCCATAATATTTTGCCCCCTAAATATCCATTTGGCAGATAATACCTTTTTCTTTTTTAATTTGAAAGAAAAACAGAGAGCTCCCACCCACTGCTTCACTCCCCCAAATACCTGCCATGTCCAGGGCTGGGCCATGCTGAAGCCAGGAGTGGGGAACTCAATGAAGCCTTCTGTATGCATGGCAGGGACCCAATTCCTTAAGCCATCAGCAGGAAGCTGGCATTGGGAGCAGAGCCACAACTCCAACCTGAGCACTCTGAAAGGGAATACAGGTATCCCTTGTGCCGTCTTACCTGACAGGCCAAATACTTATGGAAAAGAAGGTCCCTCCTGAACAAGATAGGAGTGAGCATAGGGAAAAAGCCTATCAAGCTTAATAAGTTTCTTAACCTAGGATGCAGACAGGAAAAGAAAAAGTGGGATGAGGGCAGAAGTACAGGAGAGGAGAGGAGCAAGAAGCAAAACTGGCCCAGTCCATCTCAGCATTGGTGCCTGACTGTATAACAAGTGTGTGACAGCTGGATCTGTAAATTGCTTTGGGGCTGTATTCTGGAAATGACAGATAAGAATCATTCCTAGAAATGACAAAACTCTCAGCTGTCTCATAGCTCCTTAATAATGCTCTTTGAATTCCACAACCACTTAAGAACTTAGATTTCTTTAAATGTAAAAAAAGAAAAAAGAAAAAAGATAGTATTCATTGTACAAACATTAAATTTTTGGAGCGAATCCAACAACAGTTGTTAGCTAATAATACCCCTTCCCTAGAAAGAAGAGTTATTTAAATCTGAACTCCTAGGAAAAGAGGACACGTATCTAGCGTCAATTTAGATCAATGAACATTCAGATGCATACTGAGACAGGAGCGGTCCCTACCTTTAAAAACATTTAAGCCTCTGGATTGGTGGTTCTCAGAGTGGTGTCTTAGAATCCTGAAGTCCCTAAGATTCTTCCAGAGTATCCATACACAAAAACTGTTCTCTTAGTATAATTAAGAAGTCTTGCCTTTTCTACTATCATGACATTTTCGCTGATGAAACAGAAGCAATATGGATAAAACTGCCAGTGCCTTGGCACAAATCAAGACAGTGAGGGGCGGCGCTATGGTGTAGCAGGTAAAACTGCCGCCTGCAGTGCTGGCATCCCATAGGGGCGCCGGTTCGAGTCCCGGCTGCTCTACTTCTGATCCAGTTCTCTATGGCCTGCAAAAGCAGTAGAAGATGGCCCAAGTCCTTGGGCCCCTGCACCCGTGTGGGAGACTCAGAAGAAACTCCTGGCTCCTGGCTTTGGATCAGCCCAGCTCTGGCTATTGTAGCCATTTGGGGAGTGAACCAGCAGATGGAAGACCTCTCTCTCTCTGCCTCTGCCTCTCTGTAACTCTTTCAAATAAATAAATCTTAAAAAAAAAAAATCAAGGAAGTGGCACCGAACTATGACTAGTAACATTCTTCATCACTACTGACTTGAAATTTTAAAAATCTTTGTTAAGAATGTCCTCGAAGGGGCTGGTATTGTGGTGTAGCAGTAAAAGCAGCTGCCTGGGGCCGGCACTGTGGAAGAATGCATCTGTCCCTCTGTAACTCTTTTAAATAAATAAGTTTTTTAAAAAAACTATGCAAGGGGATATGAGTAGAATAGTAGCAAACTGTAATATGATAAATATTACTAGACATAATCCATATAAGGAAAAGTTCTTTGGAATCTGATAGTTTCTGAGAATGTAAAGGGATGCCAAGTGAAAAAAGCTTGACAATCCCTGCTCTAAATCTTCTAGTATACAGGAAATATGTAGGAGTACAGGAAGGTGGTAACTTCATAGGGACTGGTGCTTTTATTATTTTCACCTAATTTGAAAGGCAAAGTGGGAGATAGAGAGATCTCATCTGCTGGTTCATCCCCCAAATGCCCTCGCTCAGCATTATGCTAGGCCAAAGCCAGGAAGGGGCTTGTATCTCAATCCAGGTTTCCCACATGGGTGTCAGGGACCAAAGCAGATGAGCCACACCTGCCGCCTCCCCGGGTGACACTGGCAACAGGCTAGAATCAGGAGTTGAGGCAGGACTCAAACTGAGACACTGAAACAGGACGTAGGCATCCCACGTGACGTAATATGCCCCACACCAAACACCCACTCCCTTTGTAGGCATTTGATGAGTAAAATCCAGAATGTGAGAAACTTTATAAGACAAAATAACTCTGTTTTCCCCAAAAGTTGAATTGCAAGAATGAAGAAAAAAAGGACCTGACAGATAAGAAATGTAAGATTTGTTGTGAGCTTGCTTCCACCCTTCACCTGCCAGCTTTCAGAACCAACTCTATAATGGTATGGCTGGAATATGGTTCATCTTCAATACTCACATTGGAACTTGGTCCCCAGTGTAAGTGAGAAGTGGTGGGATGATTAGGAAACCAAGCAGGATTAAAGCAGTTCTCTTGCTATAGCGGATTAATTATCACAAGAGTGGGTTGTTGTAGTAGGCTTGGCCCCTTGCTTTCTCTTCTACACACACCCACTTGCCCTTCTAACTCTAGCCAGCAGGAGGCCCCCTCCACTGCAGCTGCCCAGTCTTGGACGCTGCCTCCAGAACCATGGGCCAAAATGAACCTCCTTCTTTTCTCCAAGGCAACCTATGAGTTTCTAAAATGTCTAAATCAAAAAACCCAATCAATCTTCAGTAACAGTAAGAGCTCTTAAATTCTTATATATTCAATCAATTGTAATTTTGGCTTTTGACATTCATATTATCTGACCTTTGCCAAATACCCCATGGTCACCCCACAGTGACTCTTTTTGACACAATTTGTGAACCTTTCTTGTTTTCTGATATATGAAAGATGTTCTTAAAAAATTTTTTAAATATATTTACTCATTTGAAAGGCACAGTTAGCGAGAGAGAAGGAGAGACAGAGAGATCTTCCATCTGCTAGTTCACTCCCCAGATGGCCATATCAGCCAGGGCTAGACCAGGCAGAAGCCAGGAGCTTCTGGTCTCCCACATGGGTACAGGGGCCCAAGGACTTGGCCCATCTTCTGCTGCTTTCCCAAGACTATTAGCAGAAAGTTAGATCAGAAGTAGAGCAGCAAGGACTTGAACCAGTGTCCATAAACGATGCTGGCACTGCAGATAGTAGTTTAACCTACTACATCCCAATGCAGCCCCCTCCCAGTGAAATCAGGAACAAAGAGAAAATAAATATACACTCTCATCATTTCTGTTCAGTGTTGCACCTGCAACTCTAGCCAGTTTGGCAACAAAAACAAATACAAGATTGAAAATCAAGAAGTAAAACTGTCTTTATTTACAAATATTAATATTATATATAGAAAATCCTAAGAAATTCTGTGAAAAAAACTGCTAAAATAGACATATTCTGCAAGGTAGCGGGATACAAAAGCAATATGCAAAATCAGTTGTATTTTTATAAACTAGCATCAATCTGAAAATGAAATTAAGAAAACAATTCCATTCTCAATAGCATCAAGAATAAAAAAAACCTTAGAAATAAATTTAACAAAAAAGTAGAGCTTGTACACTAAAATCTGTAAAATACTATTCAAAGATTTAAATAAATGGAAAGACATCCCATGATCAGAGATTGGAAGACTTAATGTCATTATCATAACATTCCCCAAATTGGTCTACAAATTCAACACAATCACCATCAAAATCTCAGCTAATTTTTTTGACAAGCTAATCCTAAAATTCTTATGGAAATGCAATATACCCAGAACAACCAATCTTTGAAAAAAAAATTCATCCTATTTCCAATTAAAATTTAATACTACCAAATCCTTACTTACTCAATTTTATATCTATTTTACACTAAAAATCTTGGTTCCTATCACTGACATAAAATACATGTGTTTTATCTTATAAATAGTGGCAAAATACCAAAACCAATATAATGAATAACAAAATGACTTCATGTGATTTGTTTTTAAGATTTCTTTCCTGCTTCTCCTTTTTTGATATACAGACCATTAGGATGTACAATCAAAATATGATGACTTAGGGGTGGGAACTTTGCCTTGTAGTTGTCAGTTACGATGCCTGCATTCCCTGTGAGAGGGCCTGGTTTCAGCTCCCAGTTCCAGCTTCCTACCACTGCAGAGCCTGGAAGACAGCAGGCAGTGGCTCTCATAGTTGGGTCCCTGTCTGGAAGATCCAGATTGAGTTCTCAACTCCTGGCTCAGGCTCAGCCCAGTACTGGCCACTGCAGGCACTGCAGAGTAAGCCAGTAGAGGGGTCTCTAAATCTCTCTGCCTTTCTCTGAATAAAAAATGAATTTTAAAAAATTTTTATAAAACATGATTTAAAGATATTGAAAACTGATTTCTCCGTGGTTGTCCCATGAACGCAGGTTCATTTATTTTTAATGTTTAAGTATTGCTTTGCTTTTTCCTTAAAAAAAAAAAATCAGTTTATTTGTTTGAAAGAGAGAGAGGGAGCTCTTCCATCCCTAATGGCCACAACAGCCCAGGCTGAACCAGACTGAAGCTAGGAGACATGAACCCCATCCGGCCTCCCGCAGTGGTGTGGCCGGGGCTCAGTTACTTCAGTCATCATCTGCTGGTTCCCAGGTGTGGGGAGCAACTGAGACTAGACTAAATTACTGGAACTAGGACTAATTCTATGCATCTGCTCTCCCACAATATGGCGCTGGGGAGGAGTAAACTTCTACGCAGCTGCCTCTCGCCAATTTGACTGATGAGCTGCAGGAGCTGATCCTGCTCCTGATTGGAGGAGAGCAGCATGCTCGGCCTGTGGGTAGCAGAGTTGGGATTGGTGGAAGAGGACTATGAAGGAGGAGAGAGACAACATACACCAGGAACATCTGAAGGAACACCTGAGCAGCCCCCGAGAGAGCCGGCTGGCGGTGTGCCGCTCCTCCGCGGAAGCGGGGAAAGTGGCAGGGGGAGCCGCCCCTCCACGGAGGTGGAGGGGTAGGCAGCCAACCCGGGAAGGACCAGCAGCAAACCCAGGAAGGGCCGAGCAGACAAAAGAACAGCGCAGGGTCTAGTGTTGTTCCTCCGCGAATGGGGGAGTGACACCCAGGCACACTAGAAGGGAGCTGGACCAGAAGCGGAGCAGCCAGAACTTGAATCAGCACTCCGGCACAGATGGGGGCGGCTTAACCCACTCCACCAAAACACACCCATTTTTCCCTTTTGATCTTTTTTTTCAATTATATAAAATGCAATTCTAAATTATAAACAAGGAACACGGGTAATTCTTAACTTCTATTCCTAACCTC